CATATTCCCAGCCCTATTTTGTATTTTATTTAGAGACAGGGACTCACTGAGTTGCTTAGTGCCTCACCATTTTTGAGGCTGGCTTTGAACTTGTGTTCCAACCTTCCGAGCCCCTGGGATTACAGGCATGTGCCACCACGTCTGGCCATATTTGATATTTTAACAAGCTTTGCTAACGTATGGTACTTGAAAACTCTGCCCAAACAGATCCCTGAGTTTCACAAATGTCTCCCACAATTAGTAAGCAACCTGAAGTAAAGGGGTAGGTAACTCCTGTCACATCTACAGGACCCAGGCTATAGCCTGGCACAGAGCAGCAGTTGAAGGAATGTACACTAAATCTCTTTTTACAGCTACTGCTTCAGCTATTTACCAAAAATGGCATGACCTAACCAAGAAGTTAATTAAAGAGATGCTGGGCATGCCATGTGGGAACTAACCATTGAAAGACAAGGCACCTGTAAACCCACCATGAATTTTCACCTCCAGGGAACTCAGTCAGCTATAACTAAGAACCCCAACACTGACCTTCCCACAGAGCCCAAGGATTCCCCTATTAGAGTACCTACCTCTTCATCTTCTCTTCTTTCCGGTGCTGGCGCACCCAGTCCTTGGGGGTCTTTTCCGTTTCTAACATGTGATGTTTTTTGTTTGTCCACCTTAGAAGCTTACTTTTTGGTTCACAGTCTGAATTGTCTACAAAGTCCACAGTTCCATGGTCCCCTTTTAATGGATACGCTATTAAACACAAGTTCCTGTCTTCATCTTCTTCAAAGCGCACAGACACCACACCTGAAAATGGGGCGAGGAGCAGAAGGAGCTTTAATTCCACAGAAAGATGCTTTCTAAATAACATGATTGTAACATTTGTTGTTTTTCTTACCCTGTTCCTTAGTCTCTATGTTGCCAGAGGCCCCAAACTCATCTGCAAACCTAACAAATATCAAAACAGCTAGAAAAAAATGACACCATACAAGACAAGCAATTAGGGAGCAAACATGGCCGAGAGTCTTCCTCTCTAATGCACTCAACAAGGCAAGAGCCAAAGAATTACAAGACACATTTTTCCATCATTGAAAATGTTTTATTAATTTTTGTGTAACTCTTCTAATACTAAGAGAGATGCAAAAACATTGCTCTTTATATCTTGTGGAAATTTTTAATGCCCTGAACAGAAACTCCGACCGCCTGGAAGCTTGCTTTAAGGCAGAACCTGAACGCAAGGAAACACAAGTTTATCACAGGGTAAGAGGCATCTAAAAGTAAGGAAGACTGGGTAAGCAAAGCAAAATAAAGGGGCAAACAAAACAAACCACACAGCACAACAGACACCCTAGCAAAGGCTTACTATAGCACCCCCACTTAGGTAGGTGCCTCGAGCCTTTTGTCCTTCTCAATTATGCTTTTTATTAGTCTTTGCAGTTTCTTGTCACAAAAATAAATAAATAAGTAAATAAACAAATACAAGGTAAATAGGGTTGGACCAGGAGGACAGACACACTGTGGCCTTGAAAGCAGCTCTCCACCCTTGAGTCACTAGAACCTGCCATGTGTAATTAGACAGTCTTTGAGGAGGGAGCTGTCAGTAGGAGCATTTCAGCAGGTGCCGATGAGTGCCTTACAACCGACTGGCTGAACACCTTTCCTCCCAGGCCTCTCTGCCCCAGGATCACTCAATCTGCTCAGTCCTTGCTGCCTGCCCGCTTGCTTGCTGCAGGGGAATGCGTGCTGAGAGAGATGACACTTCTGAGGTAGCCCCCAGCTCTAGGTGCAGAGGAGCCAAGGTGGGGATTTCAGGGGACCACACTTCCCTGTGGCCATGGGGAAAAGGACCAGAGGAAAAAAGGGGGCAAGGGTGGCCAGCTAACAAGGGAACTCTGGCTTTGTCCTGGAAAAAACAAGAGAAGGACCAAGTGAGGGCCCACAACTCCCCCACCCCCACCCTAACACACATGCATTTTAGAGTACAGAGAGGTGCCCAGAACATTCTGTTTTTTAAAAAAATAATGTTTAAACAGTCCCAGAAGAACCTAAGTTGTTCTGGTCTTTTATATATCCAGTAATACCCACTTAAAATTAATTTCTTTAATATGTTCTCCTTTGATTTACAAAAGTTCCCCCCCAGACCACACCATGCTGGTGGCTGCTTATGTCCCCCCCAAAGAATCATTATAAAAGGAAGAAAAAACTACAATATGTGAATCAACCATTTGCCTTCATGTAGCAATTTTGGGGATTTCCATAATTGCAAAGGGCTTCAGCTAATCAGCACAGTCCTCCCACTCCTGCATTCCATCTGACTCAACCCTGCTCCCAGCCTACCTAATCACCAGGGCTTCTGGTTTCCTGGAGGACAAAAAGCAGGCGGCAAGAATTCTGGGTAAAATCCTCCCAAAGTCTTCCCCCACTGTCCCCACCATGGGGGACTATGGGTTACTGTGATCAAGAGACACCTGAACATAAAACACAACTAAACTTCCACCAAAAATAAACTCAAAACAAATCCACAAAACAAAGCACAATTGAGCAATCTTACCAGGGCTTGAAAACTGAGGGTGTGAGGTGCTGGGCTGAGGGCCAGGAGGAGGGAAAACACAAAGTGAGTGGGAGGGGGTGAGGGTTCCCAGGATGGCTGCCAGGGCCTTCCATGGCCGTGATCCCTCACATCTCCTCACCAGCCTGGCGACCCCTCCAGCAGTTGGGGGCTCACCTTTGTACTGGGGAGTGAATCTGCGCATCTCAGCTGGGAGGGTCTCGTAGAACTGATGCTCCCTCGGGACCAGGGGCTTGCACAGGGTCGTCTCATTGAAGCGTAGAACACAAGAGTGCCCCCCAACCTGGTGGACAAAGGGCTCCAGCAGGACGCCCTTGGTGCGGGGCTCCACGTCCATGGCCCTGAAGGCTGGGCTCATCCTCCGGACGCAGACGGCAGGGAAAACGGGGAGGCAGCAGGGTCTACGGCCAGCTCGTCCTCCGTCGCTTGTCTTGTCTGATCCTCCTTCTGTTTGGTCTCCGCTCCTAGGTTTGTGTAGGCCAGAATGCTCTGCCGGAAGCAAGCACATTGATTTGTGGGAACCGCCTTAGGTTCCAATTCTACAGCAGAAAGGCAAACAGTACAAGCTCACTTAGGGTTCCGCCCACGCTGCCCACCCCAGCCCCGCCTCTTCCCTCAGAAAGATAAAAACACCTTGAGCTGAGGGAGGAGAGGGAAGGAGAAGGACATGGCGAACGAGAACACGCAGAAACTGTGCTTCAACAGGGACACTACAGTATTACAAAGTCACCGTAACAGACAAAACACAAAGCCATGAAAAGGTAAAGATCAAAGATCACAATTTCAAACATTATATTCAAATTAAATCTTACAATTGTCTAATATGATAAACAAACTTAAGGTGAAAGGTGCTCAAATCTATCCATTTAATGCAATTTCTACAGGGAAAACCAACTTATCCATCATCTCGAACTTATCCACCCAAAGTATCCACACATACTGCCTCAGTCCAAGGCCAAAGACAAGCTCCATTAACCTTATTAGCAGTGGAGCTTGGGACCAGCTTTAATGATTAACGTCTGTATCTAAAAACAACCGATCAAGGCTGGTTAACTTCATTTAAAAAGATACACAGTGTTCTAGGTCAACCAACTATTTTTATCAGTTCTATCCTGATCACTAAAAGCTGGGGCATACCTTTAAGCCAAAGTTGTGCTCCTGGTCAGGGCTCTTATCCACCATAAGTCTAGGACCTTAGTTCTGATTATGCATCCAGGCGCGACAATTGGATCTCAGCAAAGCACACCTTTTTACACACTCTATTAACTGATTAAAGGCATGTCAGGCTAGGTATGTTTTCTGGCTATAATTTATAGACAATGTAGTTTCTACTAGCATTCCTTACTTAAACCACTGTATGTATATGTACAGGGATCTTACTGGGAACTTGTGCAGTTCCCATGACTCCATCTGCGACAGTGAGAGTGAGGAAGGATTTGCTGATGTGCTCAGCAAACCTGTAAAAAGCTCATTACAGAACTTCTTACTTGGTCCTCTGGATACTTTTAATGAGGTAGACACTACTCTCCCTACTGCAGGCAAAGAAACCAATTTGAGGAGGTTAGAAAACACACCCACAATCACAGTTCCCAAATGAAACTTAAAATCCTAGACTGGAGGATGCCTTAATTTTGCTGCGTATATGGGACATTTAGTTTGTCCTATAAAAGTGCTTTCAGGTGATAATGGCCAGATTATATTCCACCACTATGTACAACTATAATGCATCAATCAAAAAAGTGAAAAAAAAGTGTTTTCACCAAAATTTATATCTTCTGTAATAGCCTCTTTTAAAGAATTTAAGTTGGTGATTTTTTAAAAAATGTTTATTTTTTAGTTGTAGTTGTCAATACCTTTATTTTTTTTTTTTTAATGTGGTGCTGAGGATCGAACCCAGGGCCTCACACATGGTAGGCAAATGCTCTACCAATGAGCCACAACCCCAGCCCTGTGATAATCTTTTCCTTTCAGAAAACCCAACTGTTGACCCAGCTGGATTCAAGGATTCAAAGCTTTATTATATGCAAAGAACATAGACCTCAAAGACCCTGATTTCTCACCTGATGCTACCTTCTCATTATCACAGAAGCCCTCTCAGAAAGGCAGGTACTGAGAAGAGTTCCCAAACCACACAGGCAAAATGACTATAAGGATGAATACACTCTAATCATTTCAGACTCTCTCCAGAAGATAGCGCTGAGGTGCCTAGTTACACAAGCCCTTTTACTTAGCAACTCAGCAAGAAGCAGTCTCAAAATTTTTTTAAAAAAAGAACTGGAGCTGTAGTGCACACCTGTAATTCCCAGTGGCTTGGGAGCATAAGGCAAGAGGATCAAGAGTTCAAAGCCAGCTTCAACAACTTAGTGAGGTCCTAAGCAACTTAACCAGACCCTGTCTCGAGGAAAATTGTCAAAATGACCATATTACCAAAAGTACTTTACAGATTTAATGCAATTCCAATCAAAATACCAATGACATTCTTCACAGAAATAGAAAAAGCAACCATGAAATTCATTTGGAAAAATAAGAGACCCAGAATAGTCAAAGCAATCCTTAGCAAGAAGAGTAAAGGGGGAGACATCACAATACCAGACCTTGAACTATACTACATAGCTATAGCAACAAAAATGGCATGGTATTGGCACCAAAATAGACATGTAGACCAATGGTACAGAATAGAGGGCACAGAGACAAATCCACATAAATACAGCTGTTTCATACTAGACAAAGGTGCCAAAAAATAACTTCTTCAACAAATGATCCTGGAGAACTGGAAATCCTTATGCAGCAAAATGAAATTAGACCTCTCTCTCTCACCCTGCACAAAACTTAACTCAACATGGATCAAGGACCTAGGAATTAGACCAGAGACTCTGCACCTAATAGAAGAAAAAGCAGGCCCAAATCTTCTTCATGTTGGCTTAGGACCTGACTTCCTTTACAAGAAATAAAATCAACAATCAATAAATGGGATGGATTCAAATTAAAAAGCTTCTCTGCAGCAAAGGAAACGATCAATAACGTGAAGAGAGAGCCAACAGAATGGGAGAAAATCTATCACATGCACATCAGATAGAGCAACCCAATCAATAAATGGGCTAAGGAAATGAGCAAACACTTCACAGAAGAAGATATACAATGAATCAACAAATACATAAAAAAAGTTCAACATCTCTAGCAATTAGAGAAATGCAAATCAAAACTAAGATTTCATCTCACTCTAGTCAGAATGGCAATTATCAAGAATTCAAGCAACAAGTACTGGCAAGGATGTGTGGGGAAAGGTACACTCACTTCATTGCTGATGGGACTGCAAAATGGTACAACCACTTTGGAAAGCAGTATGGAGATTCCTTAATAACTTGGAATGGAACCATCATTTGACCCAGCTATCCCACTCCTCGGTCTATACCCAAAGGACTTAAAATTAGCATACTAAGTGATGCAGCCATCTCAATGTTTACAGCAGTTCAATAGCTAAATTGAGAAACCAATCCAGAAGACCTTCAATAGATGAATGGATAAACACACTGTGGTATATATACACAATGGAATATTAGCCTTAAAGAAGAATGAAATTAGTGGCTGGGGTTGTGGCTCAGCAGTACAGCGCTTGCCTCGCACATGCGACACCCGCGACGCCCTGGGTTCAATCCTCAGCATGACATTAAAAAAATAAAGAAAGAAATTGTGTTCAACTACAATTAAAAGAAGAAGAAGAATGAAATAACAGCATTTGTAGGTAAATGAATGGAGTTGGAGAATGTCATGCAATCCCAAAAAACCAATGGCCAAATGTTTCCCCTGATAAGTGGATGCTGATCCATGGGAGGGTGGAGACGTGGGGGGGGGGTAGGACAAGGGAAGAATGGAAGAACTTTAGACTGGGCAGAGGCAGGAAGATGGTGGAATGAATCAGACATTATTACCCTATGTACGGGTATGACGGCATGAATGGTGTGATACCCGTACATAGGGTACAACCAGAGAAATGACAAGTTGTGCTCCGTTTGTGTAAAAACAATAAAAGTGGGGGGCCCTCAGGATGTGGCTCATTGGTAAAGAGCCCCTGGTTTCAATCCCCAGTACTAATAAACAAACAAACAGGGCCGATTTTACTTCCCCAACATCAAATCTGCTCCAAATTATAGTTCTATACAGACTGGTACATACTAGGTTTTATTTTGAGACAAGGTCTTTCTAAATTACACAGGCTGGCCTCAAGCTTGAAATCCTCCTGCCTCAGTCTCCTGAATAGCTAGGATTACAGATATGTGCCACCACACCCAGCTGTCCTATTTTATTTAAAACCAAAAACCAAAAAGCTCGCATTGAAAGAGTAGGTTATGATGGCACATGCCTGTAATTCCAGCTGCTGTGGCAGCTGAGGCAGGAGAATCACTATTCAAGCTCAACTTGCACAACTTAGTGAGATAGTCTCAAGATTAAAAAAAAAGTTAACTCCACCGCAGTAGAGCATTTGCCTCACATGTGCAAGGCCTCAGGTTCAATTCACAACCACAAAAATGAAAGACTACTAGTTACCACTTAAAACTCAAAGAGTAGAAACTTGTGCCTAGCCTCTCTCCTCTGTCTCGCAAACCAAAAAACTAGAACTTAGAAAGAGAGAGCCAGAGGCTTTGGGGTCTCTATGTAGTTAAGGGGCAGAGAATCTGCAACTGTTCCTCTAATTCCACCGCACATCTCATTAGAGTTCGCTTAGGCAAGAATGAGCCTTATTTTCTCTCTCTCTCTACCCAAGATGATGATGATGATTCTTCTGGGAGCAGCAAATTGTGGATTGCCAGAGTTCAAGGCAGGTGGAGGGGTGGCAAGGTGCCATATCATGATGTGGCAGCTAATGAACACCCTGGGGACCAGAGAGGAGGGAGAGGTGGAAACCTTTGCTGGCCCTTTTGGCCTCCATTTGCACCTATGAACCACAGTCCACAGAGATGCCATGATGGGCCAGTTTTTTTTTTTTTAACTTTCTTTTCTTTTTTTTTTTTTAAAGTTGTAGTTGGACACAACACCTTTATTTTATTTATTTTTATGTGGTTGAGGATTGAACCCAGGGCCTCACACATGGTAGGTGAGCGCTCTACCTCTCAGCCACAACCCCAGCCCAAGTGTCAGGTTTTGTTTGATTTTTCAATGGAGGTGGTAATGGGTAAGATACATGACTGGAAAAAGAGAATTTTTTTACTTAATTGTATTCATTTCTGGGATTCAGACCAGAATTAGAAGGGGTTGTTAGCATCATTGCTAGCATTACCCTGATAGCAAAAGCTGATTTATACCTTTATTAAGACTTTGGATTGTGTTTCTAAAGCCTGGAGTATCTTTGAACTTTCACACTTAAAAAAAAAAAATATATATATATATATATATATATATAGTGCCCGATGTGTTGGTACTGTCAGCCTGACTTGGTATTGCTTACTGGAAAGATTTTTTTCTCTTTGAGGCCAAAAGGGCCAACCATGCCCTACTCTTTCAATAGTAGCTTTTTGGTTTTAATTAAATAGGACAGCTGGGTATGGTGACACATATCTGTAATCCCAGCTATTCAAGAGACTGAGGCAGGAGGATTACAAGCTTGAGGCCAGCCTGTGTAACTTAGAAAGACCTTGTCTCAAAATAAAAATGTTTTAATCTTAAAAAAAAAAAAAGTTAACTCCAGCCCAGCTTAGTAGAGCATTTGCCTCACATGGCAGCAGAAGCAAAATGATGAAGAGAACATTATCATTTGGATAGCATCATGATCATCATGATAAGACACACACATTGTGCCATTATTGTAGCTCTAAGGCCTGTCACCATCAGAAATCAACCTGTGGCAGATGTGGCTACCCTGCCAAGGGCAAGAGAAAGTATAACTGGAGCACCAAGGCAAAATACCACCAGGACTGGTCAAATAAGGCACCTAAAATTTGTAATAACAGATTCAGGGAGGGATTCCATGAAGGAACTCCTAAACCCAAGAGGGCAACATCCAGTTCATCTTGAGAGTTTCAACAATTAGCCACCCAATAAAAATTCTGGCTTGGGCTGGGGATGTGGCTCAAGCGGTAGCGCGCTCGCCTGGCATGCGTGCGGCCGGGGTTCGATCCTCAGCACCACATACAAAGATGTTGTGTCTGCAGAAAAACTGAAAAATAAATATTTTTAAAAAATTCTCTCTCTCTATCTCTGTCTCTCACTCTCTCTTTAAAAAAAAAAAATTCTGGCTTAAAAAAAAAATAGGGGCTGGTGTTGTGCCTCAACAGTAGAGCACTTACCTCACATGCGAGACCCTGGGTTCGATTCTCAGTACCAGATAAAAATAAATAAGTGAAATAAAGGTATTGTGTCCCACTACAACTAAAAACTAAAAATATAATAATAAATAAAATAGCCAGGTGTGGTGGTGCATGCCTGTAATCCCAGCAATTTAGGAGATTTGAGGCAGGAGGATCACAA